TTTTTGGCAGCAGCAGCAGCTTAGAACAAGTGCAAGATGATGAAGAGAATGATGAGGGCGCGAGTTTAGATATACAGCCAGCCTCCTGCGTTCATGATGAGGGACAGAGTTGAGCTGCTGGAAGAACCAGCTCAACTGGCACATACAAGTGCAGGGCAAGAGCAAGAGGTGGGTGAGAATTGTCCCTTGAACTCAGTGGCGTTTTCTCCTGTAGGCCAAGCCCTGTTTTTTTGGATTGTAGTTATAATTTTAATAAATAAAAACCCTTTGTTTAGTTTCGGTAATTATTCTGCCGGCCCATCTCTCCCCCATTCTCATTGAGTATTTTACAAAGAGTGAAACAGTGCCCCTCTAGATGTTATGGTTAAACAGTAGATTGCACTCTGTTGCGAGAGGAGGCTAGCCGAAATTGGTTTCCCTTGGTGGAAAAAAAATTGAGGGATTGACCAATCAGATGAGGCTCACGTCATGCCTCACAATCCGATCAAATCGCATCAACTTCAGTTCGTAACTGTCATCACCGCCCTTAAAAAGTAGCAAGCAAATGCAATTATGGAGGGTGGAGATTTGGAGTATTTCATCAAAAATAATTTTACTAAACTTCCGCTACAGCAGCAACTAAAAATGAAATCTGATGACAGGCCAATGCCCAAACTGGAGCTGTGTACAGAGAGGAAAAAAGGGGCGAATCGGATGTAACATTTTAAATAATAAACAGCGAATTTCTAACATAAGACATTTCATGTGGCCGGACCTGGTCGAGGGAGTGGTTTGGGATTGGGCCTAATAGTTAGACCTTACACACTTAGCCATTTTATCTACCTCTGGAACAAGCTAAACTTGTTATACATATATTTATTCTTCACTGTCGGGTAGGGATGGATATCGAGAACCGGTACTAAGTCAATACCGTTAAGCCGCTGGACAAACGGTGCTGCTATCTGTATATGTGTTACGTCTACTTCCTTAGTTCAACTTTAAATCATTCTGGTTGGTTGGGAACCCTCATCCCGTGTGATGTATCTGGTTTGAGACCCCTCTGATTGGCCACTGTAAATGCCACTCGTCATCTCTCTCAACAGCGCTCTTATTATTGTTGTTAGACTCCCGCAGGCATGGCGGACAAAGCGAAGCGATCGAAGGTCTGGGTGCACTTTAAAAAATGTAGTGGCGATTAGGGGTGCAACAACTAATCGAATTAATCGATTACCAAAATTAGTTGCCAACTAATTCAGTCGTCGATTCGTTGGTGACGTCATCACGTGTGTTTTACGTGCCGTTAAGCTCCAATGTTATTGGTCTTTATATCGGTACTGGAGACATTTAAAAGATATATGTCATGTATTATTGCTACAAAAACATTATATTGCAGTCTTAGTGTCGCCAACTTGTTTCTAATATGCAAAAAGGTAAACATATGTGTCTATGATGTATTTTTGATCAGACGAGATCTCCCTCTCTGTGTGCGAGGGGGCGGGGCACTTTACACACACGCGCCTGCTACATGCAGCAACACACTGCGGAGATGGCGGAGAGAACGCGCTCCGAGGTGTGGTTAAACTTTACCCGTCTCGATGTGGACAATGCTCGTTGCCAAAAGGGCAATAAGAGTTTAGCATGTAAGGGCGGTAACACGAGCAATTTGTCTAAACATTTAGCAAAAGTGCACCACATTCAGACGGAGAAATGTACCGGGTTCGACTGTCTTTCTAGTAGCTCTGTAGCCCCGTCCACGAGTAACGTTTCCACGTCAGGTGTTATGTATGCTAGCAGCAACACCTGGACTTAACTCAATGATACAAACATGGGTTAATGATTAGAGGTAACTGAGTTATTTATTTTGTTAAAGTTTCAGCTATTCTGTTTACNCCTGCATTCACTTTTTTAATTGCAATTTTCAAGCAAGTTTAAGCATAAATGTAGAAAAAATAAAAACCTGCAAGATGCTCTTTAATGTGGAGAAAGAGATGTGCTGTATGGGTTGATTGTGCGTTGATCTGTTGCTAATGCCTCGGGATTCCGGTGGGCATGTAAACAAATGCATAATGCTGCGCTATACTTTGTGGCCTCACCCAGTTGCATAGCGACACTTATTGTTTAGGTCACGGTGTCTTTTAATAAGCAGGTAGTCATATCATTAGCTAAAACTAGCTGGATCTGATCGATATGGACATAAACGCGAGTGAAGTCTAATCTGACGGGAGAGAGAGAGTTAGCTGCTGCTGACGAGTCGATACGCATGCATGATCACATGCAGCGGTGAGCGGAACAAAACACACACTTCAGGTTAGAATATCACACGTAGCTATTTTAATTACCTCTCAAACTACCTAAACTAGTTATAGATATGTTTAGTTTTACTGTCGGGTCACTCATTACTGGATCCGCGAGCTGCATGATACTGGTATAATAGATTGCCCTATCGGGTAACCAGCAGGTGAGGCTTCATGGCCCGAGCTAAATACTAGATGGCCCCGGGCCATCGGGCAGTCCTTAATGTCGAGCCCTGGGTTGACATTAAACATTAAAAAGATC